ACGATTTTTATCGTTGGCAACATTTCTTCCGAATGACTGTGAACATCGCTAAATTAAGAGCCGACTACTGAAGCTTTCACCTACTTATTAACTACTAACACTAGTAAATGTCACTCTAGTACGACTATTTTTCAAATTTCAGGAGCGCCGCAAGGGCGTCCTCTCGCTCCCCAGTCTTTCTCGTTTCCGTCACCGATCTCAACCACCCGAAAATCAAACAAAGCACAATCGTGCGCTTCTTTCCCGTTATCAAATATTTGTGTCAACCTCGCCAACTCGATTAAATATTTATGAAGCGTAATCAGCATTCCGCACTCGCGTTTGTAAATTAGCAAAAGTAAATGTTTATGGTTGTTAGAACAGGTTATCGTCGTCGTTCGTGATTGAAATGTTTATTTTTTGCGCGGATCTCGGCGCGGATTAAACTAGCGGACCGATGCGTCGATACTCTTTTGTTTTACTAAATTGGCCCATCGGTTGTTGTAATTTGATGCGTGCTGCGATATGCAAACGCGCGTGCTTAAACGGTAGAATAATGAGGGTCGGGGGTTGGTCTTCGTGGGGAGGCTGTTTATTAAATTTTCTATTGGAGTTATCGTGTTTATGGTTGTTTGAGTAAGTTGTTAGTGCTGGTGTTAGGGTCCGGTGGGGGTGATAATGCGTCTTGTTAAAAGAGGGCTCTTGGGGGTTGTTACTGTGTTGGTTTAATTTATTTGGGTGGAGGTCCGTACGGGTTTTGCTAGATTTGGTGCGAGTGGTTTTTCCAAAAACACATCAAGGGTGGCTTGGGAATGTCTTTCCGCCTTATCATACGAGGCATTTTTTTGACATTTCAAAGCCGAGCTTGACACCAGTATAGAATACTTTGATTAATCGATTTTTTTGTTTTTTGACTTCAATTTCTCGATTTCGCGTTTTTTCGATTTCTCACTTTTTCACTTCTTCAATTGTCGGTTATTCAATTTTACGATTTTTCAAGTTTTTGATTTTTCAATTTTTCGATTTTTTAAATTTACGATTTTCGACTTCGATTTTTCGGTTTTTCAATTTTTCAATTTTTGATGTTCTAAAATTTCGATTTTTCGATTTCTCAATTTCTTGATTGGTTTTTCGCATTTTCAGGCTTATGATATTTCAATTTTTCGATTTTTAAAATTTGTTCTTTTTCGCCTTCTTCATTACCCATTTTTGAATTTTTCGATGTTTCAGTTTTGGGATTTTTCAAAATTTCGATTCTTTAAGTTAGATTTCTCAGTTATTCGTTAATTCTTTTTTATTTTTCAAATTTTTAAATTTTAGATTTTTGAAGTTTTGATATTTCAATTTGTCGATATTTCGCTTTTTTAACTTCTTGGTTTTCGATTTTTCGGTTTTTCAATTTTCAATTTTTGACGTTCCTTAATTTTCGATTTCTCAATTTCTCAATTAATTGATTTTTTAGGTTTTGTAAATTTTTTATTCCCCGATTTTTCGATTTTTTAGTTTTTCACTTCAATTTTTCGATTTTTCGGTTTATGATTTTTCAATTTTTCGAAGTTTTAGTTTTGGAATTTTTCTATTTTTTCTAGTGTTCAATTTTCCAACTTTTCGAGTTTAAAATTTTTTACGTTTTCGATTTTTGAATTTAGATTTTTTAATACTTTCAATTTGTTAATTTTCTCATGTTTCCATTTCTCGATTTTACAATTTTCCGATTCTTTAATTTTTTGATGCATTAATTGTTAAAGTTTAAAATTTTAGATTTTTCGATTTCTCGAATTTTTTAATTTTCGATTTTTCAGTTGTTCAATTTCTCGATTAATCGATTTTTTTTGTTTTTTGGCTTAAATTTCTCGATTTCTCGTTTTTTCGATTTCTCACTTTTTCACATCTTCAGTTGTCGCCTTCTTCATTACCCATTTTTGAATTTTTCGATGTTTCAGTTTTGGGATTGCTCAATTTTTCTATATTTCAGTTTAGGAATTTTTCAATATTTCGATTCTTTAATTTCGATTTTTCAGTTATTCGATAATTGTTTTTTATTTTTCGAATTTTTAAATTTTAGATTTTTGAAGTTTTTGATATTTCGATTTGTCGATCTTTCGATTTTTCAACTTCTTAGTTTTCGATTTTTCGGTTTTGCAATTTTCAATTTTAGACGTTCCTTAATTTTCGATTTCACAATTTCTCAATTAATTGATTTTTTTGGTTTTTTAAATTTTTTATTTTTCGACTTTCAATTTTTTTTCACTTCAATTTTTCGATTTTTGGTTTTTTAATTTTTCCATTTTTCGATGTTTTAGTTTTAGAATGCTTCTATTTTTCTATTTTTCAATTTTTCAACTTTTCGAGTTTAAATTTTTTTACCTTTTTTTGGATTTTTGAATTTTAGATTTTTTCATTTTTTCAATTTTTTGATATTCTCATGTTTCCATTTCTCGATTTTTCAATTTTTCGATTCTTTAATTTTTTGATGCATTAATTGTTAAAGTTTAAAATTTTAGATTTTTCGATTTCTCGAATTTTTTAATTTTCGATTTTTCAGTTGCTCAATTTCTCGATTAATCGATTTTTTTTGTTTTTTGGCTTGAATTTCTCGATTTCTCGTTTTTTCGATTTCTCACTTTTTCACTTCTTCAGTTGTCAGTTATTCAATTTGTTCAATTTTGCGATTATTAAAATTTGCTCTTTTTCGCCTTCTTCATTACCCACTTTTGAATATTTCGATGTTTCAGTTTTGGGATTTTTCAATTTTTCTATAGGTATTTCAGTTTAGGAATTTTTCAATATTTCGATTCTTTAATTTCGATTTTTCAGTTATTCGTTAATTCTTTATTTTTCGAATTTTTAAATTTTAGATTTTTGAAGTTTTTGATATTTCGATTTGTCGATCTTTCGATTTTTCAACTTCTTGGTTTTCGATTTTTCGGTTTTTTTCAATTTTCATTTCAATTTTTGAGGTTCCTTGATTTTCGATTTCTCAATTTCTCAATTAATTGATTTTTTGGTTTTTTAAATTTTTTATTTTTCGATTTTTCAGTTTTTCACTTCAATTTTTCTATTTTTGGTTTTTTAATTTTTCAAGTTTTCGGTGTTTTAGTTTTGGATTTTTTCTATTTTTCAATTTTTCAACTTTTGAGTTTAACATTTTTTACGTTTTCGATTTTTGAATTTTACATTTTTTAATTTTTTCAATTTTTTAATATTCTCATGTTTCCATTTCTCGATTTTTCAATTTTTCGATTCTTTAATTTTTTGATGCATTAATTGTTAAAGTTTAAAATTTTCCATTTTTCGATTTCTCGAATTTTTTAATTTTCGATTTTTCAGTTGTTCAATTTCTCGATTAATCGATTTTTTTTGTTTTTTGACTTAAATTTCTCGATTTCTCGTTTTTTCGATTTTTCACTTTTTCACTTCTTCAGTTGTCAGTTATTCAATTTTTTTAATTTTTCGATTTTTAAAATTTGCTCTTTTTCGCCTTTTTCATTACCCATTTTTGAATTTTTCGATGTTTCAGTTTTGGGATTTTTCAATATTTCAGTTTAGAAAGTTTTCAATATTTCGATTCTTTAATTTCGATTTTTCAGTTATTCGTTAATTCTTTTTTATTTTTCGAATTTTTAAATTTTAGATATTTGAAGTTTTTGATATTTCTATTTGTCGATCTTTCGATTTTTCAATTTTCAATCTTTGACGTTCCTTAATTTTCGATTTCTCAATTTCTCAATTAATTGATTTTTTTGATTTTTTAAATTTTTTATTTCTCGATTTTTCGATGTTTTAGTTTTGGAATTTTTCAATTTTTCAACTTTTCGAGTTTAAAAATTTTTACGTTTTCGATTTTTGAATTTTCGATTTTTTAATTTTTTCAATTTTTTAATTATTTCATGTTTCCATTTCTCGATTTTTCAAGCTTTCGATTCTTTAATCTTTTAATGACTTTAATTGTTAAAGTTAAAAATTTTAAATTTTTCGATTTCTCGAATTTTTAATTTTCGATTTTTCAGTTCAATTTCTCGATATATCAATTTTGCGGACTTAATTTTTTTTTAAATTTTATATTTTTAAATTTTTAATTTTTGGATTTTGGGCTATTGCGATTTCTCAATTGTTAGATTTTCTCGACTTCTTGACTTGATTTCTCGATTTTTGATATTTCTTTTCTTGACTCAGTTTTTCAATTTTTCAATTTTTCGATATTTGAATTTTTTTCTTGGTTTTTCGATTTTTCTATTTTTCGGTTTTACGAATTATTAAATTTATGTTTTTTTAGTTTATTGATTTTTCAATTTTTCGATTTTACAATTTTTGGATTCGAATTTTTGACATCTCGGTTTTTCGATTTTTAAAATTTTTCATGAGACTTATTGGAGCGAGGGAAGTTCTATCGAAATAACGTTCGACCACTTTTTCGAAGCTGCATTTGTTCGACTATACCTCAAAGTCGAGAGAATTTTTGTATAAATGCTGCCCCATCTTAACCAAAACATAGTTCCGCCACTGCTTTGAAACGAGCTTATCACATCTAAAAATGTACGTGTCCGTGAAGATGCACACAACAATATAGTAAGCATTTCGCATATTTTCCGTTCTAGGGCGTTCAATTATAGCTGTGGTCGCTTGATCCAATTAACGAAACATTTAAAATAAAAATTCTTAAAACACACAACCAGTTTAATCGACTTTAATCCACGATCGTGACACTTACAATTAAACAAAAATTTAGGTTATAAAACATCCGTTCCGTCAAAGCCCCACAATTTATCGTACTCCCTCCCACTATATAACTCAATCCGACACCTAAACACCATCAATCTAACTTTAGCCACGAAAAAAATGCACAAACGCATTCCCACACTCCGCGCCGCGAAATCCCAAACAAAAGCAACGTACCAAAATCGGGCGAAGCGAAGGTCCGATCCGAACACCGCCACCGACAGACATAAACACGCTCGCGTAAACAGGCCAAAAATAAAGCAAGCGCGGGTAAACGGCACACGCGCGTGGTGGTGACTTACCCTCGAGATCCGCAGCGGCTGGTTGACGTCGGCGCCTCCGTGCAGCCGAAAACCCCACGGGGAACCTCCGTCCAAGACAACTTCGCGAGTTGTCATGGCCTGCTGGACGATGGCGGCGGCGTCGGGCCAGTTGGGCCGCGGCCAACGCGATCACTCCGAACGCAAGCCACGCTGATGCGGCGAGTCATCGATCAAAATAGACATGCACGCCACTGGACGGTGGTAGCGGGCTCAATTGGCGGCTGCTGGAAAAGCGGAAGAGCAGTGTTAGTGCGGCATTCAGGCAACTGGTGCGAGGACAACCAACTTGGAGATCCAAGTCCGCATTCATTTATTAAAAAAAATATATCGACATTTTTTACGATTTTTATTTTCTAATAACCTCTATAAAGTTAAAACCAGTCCTGCAGGTGAATTTTTAAATTTTTCTTTTTTCGTTTCTTCAGTTTTCGAATTTTCAAAATTTTCAATTTTTTAATATTCCAACTTTAAAATTTTTGAAATGGATTCAGAGGTTTTCACGGCCAGTTATTGTTAGAACGGGGGTTTTCGGGTTTGAACCGTCTGAAATTTAAGGAAGGTTTCAACGGTGAAGGGCGAGAGAACGGTAAGTTCACTGAAAAACGAGAAACTGAAGTTAAACTTCTCCTGAATTTAAAAAATTTTTCAATGTTTAGATTTTTCAATTTTTTATATCTTCAATTTTTTCAAATTTTTAATTGTGATTTTTTTTCAATTTCTCGATATTTCAGTCTTAAACTTTCCAAATTTTCGCTTTTTACTTTTTCAATTTTTTTAATTTTGGGACAAACAATTATAAAATTTTTCGATGTTTCGATTTTTCAACTTTCGAATTTTTCAATTTTTCTATTTTCAGTTTTTTTGTTTCAGTTGTTTAATTTTTCAACTTTTAAACTTTTGTATTTTCTGATTTATCACTTTTTTGTTCTTAAGATAATTCATGTTCGCAGTTTGAATTTTACAATTTTTCTTTCAAATTTTCCTAATTTTAAAATTTTTGATTTTTAAATTTTTCAATATTTCGACCTAGTTTTTCAATTTTTATATTTTACTGTAATTTTTCGATATTCTACTGTAAAATTTCTCAATTTCTCGATTTTTCGAGAGTTTGACAACAATCGGTCCAGTAATTTCAAGGGTAGGTAACAGAAACAGACAAATAGACAAACAGACCGACAGACGGAAACGGTGGACTCATTTCTTCGTATTCTAGGGGTCATGAAAGGTAGAGCAAACATAAGAGTAGCCAGTCGTCCGCTGGATTAGATTACAATACTTTCTTAGCTTACCCTTGAGAAGTAAAAATCAAAACAAAAACTATGAAGGCGTTGACTAAAATGTCAAAACTGTCCCAACTGTCACGTCAATTTCGCTGCGCACTAGTTCGATGGGTGACCACAACAAACCCGCCTCCGCAGAGCCGCCCCCAACCTCCCCGCCACCCCCCGACAAACGCAAGTACTACGACGCGTCCATCCTCATCCTCATCCAATTCGTGGGCTCCTACGAAGGCATAATTCGCATGGGTTTCTTCAAGGACGTCAAAAAGTACTTCGACGTCGACGACACCGGCGGCCAGTTGATCCGGGTCGTCTTCATGTTGTTCTTGATGACGACGTCTCCCGTTTTCGGGTATGTCGCAGACAGGTTTTCCCGGAGGTACCTCGCCGTCATCGGGATGACTGTGTGGAGCGTCAGTAGGCTATGTGCATCACTGATGACCAAATTCTGGGCCTTGTTGGTGATGCGGGCCTTCATGGGGGTGGGCCAGGCGTGCTTCACCGTCGTCGCCCCGAGTCTCCTGGGCGATTTGTTCGTGGGGGACACGCGTTCCAGGTTGCTGGCGGTGTACTACCTGATGGTGCCTATAAGCATAGGCACCAGCATGATCGTGACTGGGGAAGTCGCTAAAGTGACGGACAGCTGGAGGTGGAGCATGAGGATTACTGTGGTTATGGGGGTGGTCAGCGCGGTGTTGGCGGGGCTGGTGTTACGCGAACCGGTTCGGGGCGAGCTGGAGGGGCTGCAGTCGGAAGCCACCCCTTTGAAGACAGACTTGAAAAACTTGTGGGAAAACAGCACCTACGTGACCAACGTGCTGGGTTTGACGACTGTGAGTTTCTTCATGGGGACACTAAACGTGTGGATACTGAAGCTCTTGTGCTGGGGGATGAAGATTACGTACCCCAACTCCGACCACCCTAGGGAAGAGACTGTGTTGGGGTTGATTCTTTGTCCGTCGGGCTGCTTGGGGATACTGGGGGCTTATTTGCTCTCGCGACATTTCAAGAAAAAGTACCCCCGTGGGGACCCCCTGATCTGCAGCGTGGCCGTTCTGACGTCGACGCCGCTTTTCTTCATCGTCACCTACTTGATGAAGACCGACGAGTACGCCACCTATGTCGTTCTATTCTTTGGACTTTTTTGTTTGAACATGATTTGGGCTGTCACCGCAGATGTTTGTTTGGGGGTGGTGGTGCCTTCGAGGAGAGGGAGCGCCTTCGGGATAATGGCGTGCGTGGTGCATGCGGTGGGGGACCTGGGGAGTCCATACTTGACGACACTGGTTTCAAATGGGCTTTACTACCAGTACCAACACGAGGAACCGCATCCCCAAAACGAATATTTGACCCTCCAATACGCGGGGTTTTTGTCCTTGCTGGTGGCGGTGACGGGAAGCGTCTTATACTTTATGGCTTCTATTTTCATTGTGGAAGACCTGACGAAGGCGCAAGGGGACACCACCGCCCCGTAAAAGTAGAGTTAAGTTTAAGAAGATGTACTTTTAATAGAGAATTAAAATGAAATCAAAAACAATGTATCTCTAGTGATAGGTGTTTATTCATATAATTTTTTGTAATCCAGTCCACTTTCATAAAAAAAAACATCGAAAATGTCAAAACTGTCACACTGATGTCCCATAACAAATCTGTCGCCACAGAGCCGTATCTTGGGCAGCTGGAGGTGGAGTATGCGGGTCACCGTGATTGTGGGCGTCGTCAACGTGGTGCTAGGGCTATTGGTGCTGCGTGAGCCGGCTCGTGGTGGTCTGGAGAGACGACACGTGGAAACCACACTTTTGAAGGAGGATCTGAAGTACCTTTTAGGGAACAGGACCTACGTGGTCAACACGCTGGCTATGACGGCTATGACGTTCTGCACGGGTGCCCTACGACTGTGGATGCCGACGCTCTTGTACCGGGGTTTGAAAGTCAAGTACCCCGACGTCGACCACTACAACGTGGGCTCTGTGTTCGGACTGATGAGTGTTGTGTCAGGCGTCCTAGGAGTGCTGGAGCTTATCTGATCGCGCGGAAGTTAAAGCAGAAGTCCGCTCGAGGGGACCCTCTGGTCTGCAGCATGGGAGCGCTGGCGGCGACTCCGCTAATCTTCACTCCACCTACTTAGTGAAGACCGGGAAGTACACCGCCTACGTTGTCTTGTTTTTTGGACTTCTTTGTTTGAACATGATTTGGGCTATCACGATGAATATTTGTGTGGGGGTGGTGGTGCCTTCGAGGAGGGGGAGCGCCATCGGGATAATGGTGTTCGTCGTACATGCGCTGGGGGACGCGGGGAGTCCGTACATAACGGGACTAGTTTCAGATGGGCTTTACTCCCACTACCAGAGCCAGGAACACCATCCGGATAACCTATTTCACGCCCTCCAACACGCGGGGTTTTTGACGCTGCTGGTGGCGACGGTGGGGGGCGTCTTGTACTTTGTGGCTTCCCTCTTCATCGCTGATGACCTGAAGAAGGCGAAGGGGGATGCCACCGAGTAAAAGTAGGGTTAGGTTTGAAAAATGTATTCTTAACGGAGAATTAAAATGAGTTGTTTCAAAAAGCACCACACGACATTTTGTTCGTAAAAGGAGAAGCTTCTTTGTACCTTTTTCTTTGTTCAGCCCGTTTTTCGTTGTTTACGTGTTCTTCCGCTTTAGCCACGGCCCCCACGATGATCAGCCGCTAGCTGGCGGCGACTGCTGGGGGCGGCGCGGGACGAAAACTACCGGTTTATTTCACAATTGACACTTTGTCACCAATTTATACAATCATTGCTTACTAAGATCTGGCAACGAAAAAGTTTGGTTTTTGAACCATGGCCGACTAGTATAAAGATTATGGCCTGTCCAAGAGGTACCATACGTGTTGCCATCTATTAATAATTACACTTAATAATTTAGCAAAATTTTAATTTCATTTGACATTATGAGACTTCAAAACGTGTAATGGTGGTTTGTTTCGGTATGAATGCCTTTGTGCCTTTCAAAAAGTGTTAATAATTCTTTTGTCGTTTTTGAATTATTAATAGACAGGCCATAATCTTTATACTAGTCGGCCATGTTTGAACGAATCAAAGCTAGCGAAATGTATCAATCCCAAAGAGAAAATCATGAAGTTTTATAAAATTTGAAAGAACATGATATACAGGGTGCCGCATCCAAGTCTGGATATAGGGAATTATCATGGGAATTGGTTTTTATTTTATAATATCTCCCCAGATCACTTTAAAGCTATTATTGAGTGATGACTTTGTAGAGATCGAAGAGGGCTATCGGCCAGTATTTTTTTCAAATCGTTGCATCGCGCTCATTCATTGTAAAAAGGTTTTAAAAATCGTATTTTGAAATTCGCGCCTGATCCGATTTGTCGCGAAGTGTTCCGTCGTACTGTCGAAGTTCGGCGATCGCGTCTTTCCATTAACCATGCAAAATCCAAATGTCAAAATGAAATTTGCAATTATTCTTCATCAGAAATCAACGAACAACTCAAACTGAATTATTTTATCCAGTGTGATGATTATTGTAGGACAAATTAAACGGAATAAATGCACAAATTGATCCATTCATTCGTCATAGTGCGCGACCCTGTCAAACGAGCCATTTCGAACTACACTCAGACCGCATCCAAAAAGCCCGAGATGAAGACTTCGAGCAGCTGGTCTTCCTCAAAACCCCATCAAAGCCCATCGGCAGCATTGTGACATTTTCTGGGAGCCCTCAAGCTAGGTATGTACTCGCGCTGCCTCACTCAGTAATCACTGAACGACTCAAATTGAATTATTTTATCCAATATGACGATTATTGTAGGTCAACTTAAACGGTATAAATGCACAAACTGCACAAAATATTTTATTAGGTTATGTTGCTGGTGCTGGTCGAGTCTTTATTACTAAAATCTTGTTAAAATGCCATGTTCTACTGCGATTAGATGAAAAAGCGAGGGCCCGCTTTTCTTATTGTGTGATGGTAAGATTTACCATCAAAACAGGGCGCTTTTGAAGAGAACCTTTTTATGAACCATTTAGATAACTACAAATAACAAAACTTAACAATTGTTGATGAATGAAGTAATGAAATATTGTACGAATCTGGAGAAGTATTGCACTATTTTCAAGAATTGCTTAAAAAGACTGCTCTCAGCAGCTGTACAGTAAGTAAGCCGATCTTCAAAACCCCTACGCGTGTTGATCAGCATTTGAGTTGAAATCTGAAGACGATGTTGCTGGATTGCTTGTTTCAGCGCTTCTCTGTTTGTATAACTGGTATTGTCTGAGTGCAGATGGTCGTGAAGAAATCTCCAAAGAAAAAATTCTCAGGGATTTAGATCCGGCGAATGCACAGGCCAATGGGGCGGTGCAAACTTTCCATTCCAACACTGCGGGAAAATACTGGTTCAAATAAACAACATTTATGCGAGCTGTATGGCTGGAGATTTGGTTCTGGATGTAAAAGACCTGCTGCAGATGCCGCACCCTTCGAGTCCCAGGAAGTATTTGCTGAGCTAGCGTATTGTCCTACTTCTGAGCATTCAATCCGGATTCGATGAAAAAAGGTGCAATAACATGATGTCCTAGAAGCCCCAGTCATACACTGACAACTGCAGGTCATTGATAACGATGGTCATGGACCACGTGAGGGCTGTGTAATGCTCAAATTTGATCGTTTTGATGATTATAACTTCCCTTAAGACCAAATGAACATTCGTCAGTAAAACAAATGTTCCTCAAAAACTCTCCATCAGCCTAGATTCTCTCAAGCGTTCCTTCGTAAAACGTTATACGTGAGAAGTAGTCCTCAGGCTTCAATTTTTTGTCATGATGCTTTTTGAAACTCTTCTATCCCATCTGTTTAACATCCCTAGAAAACGTCGTGCGCACCTGATTTTATTTAATTTTTATCACCTTTGAAAATAAATGTAACTTTATTTTGCGAAATATTTTTATTTTTGTTGTTGTTAACACAATAAACAAATAAACAGTAATACAAAAGTTTCTGAATCCCAAAACACATTCGTAATAGAGAAAAATACTTTAGAATGTTGATGAGTCAATGTTCTAAATTTCTTCCTCAAAAATTTCCTGTAATGAAGATCCTTCCAGGCGGCAAAATTCCATCCCTGCTTAACGAATGTAAAATCAATTGACTTCCAATCTTTGGTGATTCGAAAAAAGTGTGAAATTTATCCAAATTGACCTACAATAATCATCACACTGGATAAAATAATTCAGTTTGAGTTGTTCGTTTATTTCTGAGAATAATTTCTAATTTCACTCTGACGTTTGGATTTTGCATGGTTAATAATTAATGGAAAGACGCGATCGCCGAACTTCGACAGTACGACGGAGCACTTCGCGACAAATCGGATCCGGCGCGAATTTCAAAATACGATTTTTAAAACCATTTTACAGTGAATGAGCGCGATGAAACGATTTGAAAAAAATACTGGCCGATAGCCGTCTTCGACCTCCACAAAGGCATCACTCAATAATAGCTTTAAAGTGATCTGGGGAGATATTATAAAATAAAAACCAATTCCCATGTTAATTCCCTATATCCAGACTTGGATGCGGCACCCTGTATTTAATATACCTAGTATTTTTACTTCCCGAGCGTAAGCGAAGGGTATTGTTATCGAGTCCGTCGACCTTTCATGATGCCTAGAATACGAAGAAATAAGTCTCCCGTTTGTGTCCGTCTGTTCGTCTATCCGCCTGTCTGTCTGTCCGTCCCGATTTTTATTAGACAGATATTCTCCGAAAGTACTAGGCCGATAGTTGTCAACTTTTGTATTTATATTAGGAATATCATGTAGATGGTAAAACGCTAAATGGGTTTTAAATTGTAGGAAATAACATAGTCTTACACATGTAGTTCCCACATATTTTGCCTTTTTTTTTCTCAATCTGGCTTTAATTTTTACTTAACGTAAGTGAAATAACTTGAAGCTAAATATTTTAGTGACGAAGTTATCTCCAATCATTTTCATTGTACGTACCGCCACTGAAAATATGCCTGACAAAGACCGAGAACTAAAATCTATAGATGTATTCTTCCCAAGAATAGCAAAAGACTACCATGTCTATGTTTAAGTGGAGAATTAACTGACCATGGGTCTTCCTTCCAAGAATGTTTCTTTGTCCCGGCGTCGTCGGTACTGCTAGTGGTACCAAATTAAAACACCTCCACCTCACTAAATCTATTTATTGCGAAAAAATCAGTACCGTTGCATTTACTACTTGGCCTGCGATTTCGCTGCTTCAGCCTGTTCTTCGTTTTGCGCGCCCTCGTCTATTTTGAGTAAGTCCTTCATGATGAACGCCGCGTTTAAAAAAAAGAACACCCCCGCTAGCAACTCCACCGCCATCCCCAGGAAGTACGCGTGCTGCAACGAGTAAAACTCGTTGGTCTCCTTCTCCTCCACCTCCTGGTAGTGGTCGTAGAGCCTGTCCGAAATCAAGCCCGTCAGGGACGGACTGCCCGCGTCCCCGAATGTGTGCCCTATCAACAACTGCATCCCCATTGCGAGCGCCCTCCTCGACGGCACCACCACGTTCATGCAAATATCCACCGTGAGAGCCCAGTTCAAGTTCATGAACACGAACCCCCCGAACAGCAGCGCGTACGTCGTGATCCTGTCGCTCATGGAAGCGTAGGTGGCGCCGGTCATCAGCGGCGCCGAGATCACCAGCCCCACGGCGCACACCAGCGGGTCCACCGGTGGGTACGACTCCTTCGCCTGGAACGTGGCCACGTACCCGATGAGCAGCCCCAGAAAGCCCGACACCATGCTGACTATGCCGAAGAGGGAGCTCTCCGTGTACTGATTGACGTCCGGCCGGTGCAACCGGAAACCCAGCACGTTGAGCTTCGGCGCCCACCAGGTGGTAACGCCCGCCGTGAAGGCCACCGCAGTGAAGCCCAGGGTGCAGAACATGAAGCTCTTGTTCGTGAGCAGGTACACCAAGTCCTTGGTCCAGGGCGTTGCCGACATGTGGCGGCCCTCCACTTCGCCGCGCTGGGGGTGTCGCAGCACCAAGAGGATCAGTAGCACGTTCATCACGCCCACGAACACGGGGACGCGCAGGCTCCAGCGCCAAGTCCCGAGGAGCTCGGTCGCCTGAGCACCCACGACGTAGGCCATGCCGTTGCCCACGGGGATGGCGGTGTAGAAGATGGCGAGCAGGCGGGAGCGCCTGTCGCCCACGAAGAGGTCGCTGATGATGGACGGCGACACGGTAGTGAAGCACGCTTGACCGAGACCCATGACGGAGCGGAAGAGCAGGAAGAGCCAGTAGGTGTTGGAGAAGGAGCAGGCGACTGTGGCGGCGTTCCAGAGGCCCACCCCGAAAGCCAGGATGTACTTGCGGTTGTAGCGGTCGCCGAAGAAGCCGAAGACGGGAGCAGAGAGGGTATAGGGGACGATGAAGAGCGTCTGGATGAGCCCGGCGGCTTCGTTCCGGATGTCGAACTCGGCCTGGACGTCGATGAGGATGCCGGCGAGGCTGTAGCGGTCGTTGTAGTTGCAGAAGTTGATGAAGATAAGGATGCACACGTCGACCCACTTGTGCCAGGACACGTGCTCGGTGGTCGCGGAAGTCCTGGAGGTGTTTCGCAGGAATTCCATTGACAGCGGATTTCATATGTCACGGACCGTCATTCATCAGAGCATACTTGTTTTACAATTTTCGGACCACCTCCGCCCCAGGAGATTGATTAGGGTCGGGGCTGTCAAACGGGCCCAATAAGTATCCACTTTTCAGCTGGCGGTGTCAGGAGGCAGATACGAGGGTTCGCCCTTTCAAAGGACTCCAATAATGTTTAATGTGCTGTCCTGAATTGATTTTTAAAGGGTTTCGTTCGCTCTGAATAATATTATGTTTGGGTGGAATGGCCCTCGAAGCTCATCGTCACATGCTTGTGCAAAATTAATGTGAGCTGGAAAGTTTTTTAATAGAGGAAGAGTGTTAATGAAAGAGTGGCGGCGGCGGGGGGGGGGGATGTTTGAGTTGCTTATAATGGAGATTAGGGCGCCGTTTCGCAGTTTCGGACAATTTTCTGGTAATTTTCGTAAGAAATGAGTGGCTTAATTTTAGATGAAAATGACATTCTACTTAGAGATGAGATGAAATTATTAATGGTGTGCTAAAATTAAGTTTTATGATTTTTTATGAAGTCGTGAAAGCAAATACAAATTCTTTTTCCTTTGGGTAAACAAGGACGACTTCTATTTATAAAGTATTACTGAACTATTATTGCATGTACAAAGTCTGCTGCCAACTAAGTAAGTGATTTATCAAAATAAAAAGTGAAAACTGACTTATAGTAGGTATAACAAAAAATGAGAATTTTTAATATTTTTTTATTTCCCGAACGTAGGCGAAGGAAGTATTGTAATCGAGTCCATCGACGTTTCATAACTCCTACAGTACGAAAAAAGTAGCCTCCCGTTTCCGTCCGTCTGTCTGTCGATTGTTGTCAGATTTTGTATATATATGTATTAGGAATATCATGTAGATAAGTTCAATGCTAACCAAAATTTGGCTAATCATCCCCGCCAACAATGACTAACAAACTGAAAAATCGAAAAATCGGCAAATCGAAAAACCAAAAAATGGATTAATTGAGAAATCGAAAAATCGGAAATTTAGAAACGTCAAAAATTGAAAAACTGAAAAAATAACTAAAGAATAAAAAACTGAAAGCATAGAAAATTTAAAGAACTGAAATATTGAGAAATTGAGAAATCGAAACATGGAAAATTTTAAACATCAGAGTCAAAAAATTCGAAAAATGGAAACATTGAAGAATCGAGATAAGTATTGAAACCTTCCAAAACTAAGACATCAAGCAATTTGAGAAATCGAAAAATCAAGAAATCGGAAAGTCAAAATTTAAAAAATCCAAAACTTGAAAAATCAAAATCCTGAAAAATCAAAAAAGTGAAAAAATGAAAAACTGAAAAATTGAAAAAACGTGAAATCGGAAAGATCGATGTGTTGAAAAATCGAAAATTCAAAAAATGAAAAAATTAAAGAATCGAGATAAGTACTGAAGAAATCCAAAACATCAAAAAATTGAGAAATCAAAAAACTGAACACTCAAGAAATCGGAAAGTCGAAATATTGAAGTCCAAAAATCGAAAATTTAAAAAATCGAAAACCTGGAAAATCGAAAAGTCGAAAAGCCAAAAAATCGATTTTCGAGAAATTGAGAAATAGAAAAATCGGAAATTTAGAAACATCAAAAGTTGAAAAATTAAAACATGGAAATATTTAAAGATCGAAAAATCGAAAAGTTGAAAAATCGTAAAACTAAAACATCGAGAAATTGGAAAATGGAAAGTGAAGAAATTAAAAAATTAAATAATTGAAGAACTGACATATTGACAAATTGAGAAATCTAAAATTCAAAAATCAAGAAAAGGAAAAATCGAAAATTGAAAAAATGGCAGAATTAAAGAATAGAGAAGTCGGAAAGTCGAAATATTGAAATTGAAAAATCGAATCGAAATCGAAAAATCGAAAAATTAAACAATCAAAAAATTGAAAAATCGTAAAACTGAAACATCGAAAAACTGACAAATTGAAAGTCAAGAAATTGAAAAATTGGATAACTAAAGAATAAAAAACTGAAACATCTCAAAACTTAAACATAGAAAACTGAAAAATTGAAGAATCGAAATGAGGATTGAATAATTCCAAAACTAAAAAATCAAAAAATTGAGCAATCGGAAAATCGAAATATGTATTGAATTCGAAAGATCGAAAATTTAAAAAATCGAAAACTTAAAAAATAAAAAACCTGGAAAAACGAAACATCGATAAATCGTGAAATCTAAATATTGAAATATCGAAAAACTGAAAAATTTTACAACCAAAAAAATTGAAAAATCGAAAAATTAAAAAATTTGAAAATCCAAACATTGAAAAACTGAAAACTCAGGAAATCGAGAAGTCGAAAAATTAAAACATCGATTAATCCAGAAACAGAAAAATCGAAAAATTTTTTAAATGGAAAAACCGAGTATCGAGAAACCTAAAATTCGAAAAGTAGAAAAAAATCACAAAATTTAAAGATCGAAAAATTGAGAAATTGAAAATTTGAAAAATCAAGAAATTGAAAAATCCCAAAGGAAATGTCGAAACATTGGGAAATTGAAAAATTGAAAAATCGGAACATTGTACAATTGAAAAATCAAAAAAATCCGAGAAAACGAAAAATCAAACATCGAAAAATTGAAACATCGAGAAATCAAAATATCGATTTTGAAATTGAAAAGTGGGGAAGTCGAAAAATGGAGAAATCGAAAAATTAAAAATATCAAAATTGAAAAGCTGACAAATCGAAATCTGAAAAGTCGAAATTTCGAAAGGTCGAGCAATCGTAATATCAAAAAATGCAAACACTCCAAAAATGGAAATGTAAAAAAATTAAAAAATCCCAAACTAGAAAAATTGAGAAATCGGGAAATTGAAAAGTCGAAAAATGAAAAAAATCACAACACTGAAAGAATGAGAAACTGAAAAATCGAAAAAGCGAGAAATCGATTAATTGAGAAATTGAAAAATCGAAAAACCGGAAATTTAGAATAAACAAAAATTGAAAAATTAAAACACCGAAAAATTTAAACATCGAAAAATCGAAAAGCCGAAAAATTTAAAATTCAAAAATCGAAAAAGTAAAAAATGAAAAAATTGACGAATCGAGAAATCGGAAAGTCGAAATATGTATTTAAGTCGAAAAACCAAAAAATCAATCAATGGAGAAATTAAGAAATCCCAAAAATCTAAAATTTACAAACGTCAAAAATTGAAATGGAAAAATGAAAACATCGAGCAAACCAAAATTTGAAGAAACCAAAAATTGAAGAAAACAAAACTTGTTATATAATAATAATAATAATGGAGCCATGCGTTATTTTATAAAATTTAAATAACATTTACTATTGTTGACGTCATTCTATTGTTGATAGACAGATAGACAGATATGAAGACACACGGAAACGGAAAACATATTTTTTCGTAAGCATGAAACGTCGAGAAAACATAAAAGTAGCCAGTCGCCCGATGGATGTTATTACAATGCTTCCTTAACTTACGCTCGGGAAGTAAAAAAAAAATAGAAAAATACCTCCAGTCGAGAACTTGAAACACATGAAAACGAATTTCAAAAATTACACCTTAAAAATTTTGGAGTTGTTAAAATTTATTACACGCAGAAAAAACATCTGCTGGGAATCCCTTTTATTTGTATAACAGTTTTATCAAAATTACGAGTAAAATTCGAAAAACCATTTTTGGAAAAATTTGAAGTTGCTAAAAAATAACTCACTAGGAATTAAAGCCCACAAGTCGCGTCAAAATAGACAAATAAACGTGAACCAAACCGAAAAGTGTAAAATTAACCCGGAAAAAACACCGACAGTGACACAAAACGAACAAATGTTCACACCGATCCATTTTGTATTCTCCCGTAAACAGGTTTCGATTATTCCATGTATATTTCAAAAGGCTTTGCTCATAAATACCGTTTTGAATAAATTATGCCAACCCGAGCAACATTTTTTCTTAACACAAATGATGTAAGCCGCGATCGCTTTTGAAGTTGATGTCATCTAGTTTGGCAACCCCAACTTTCTAAACTTACATAAAACTGAACCGCAACAAATTCGCGAACTGCACTAGATTTTTTAACTATTTTTTTTTTTAAATCACACCCCCTACACTTAAAACTCTGTTTCTAGTTGTACATACCGCAGATAGTTTCCTCCACCAATTTAGCACTCCACCAGTCAATACCCGGAGATGTTAACAAATTTCCCGACTCGCTTTTTATCGAAAATTTAGCACCGTCCGGAGCATGTTCTACTCCTACGCGCCCGATCTTGGTCACTAGAGGAACTGGTGTAGAACTAGTGGCACGCGATCGACTTGCGCGCTGATACGTCGCGGGATTTTCACATTCATTTTCGTCGGATGCACCGGGAGCTTTTCCTGCGAGTCGTTGCAGAATCACGCGAAAGACCAAGGTCCGAGCACAGCCCCCGGTGTCACCTCACCACCTCGGTTATTCCGCCTGTTCGAACGCTTATTTTTACGTCGTTGGCAGGCGAGAGTCTTTTTCTCGGAAGCGCTCCTCCGTTTTTAAAGCGTTATCGGAAAGTTTCGATTAGGCGGCGCGGATGGTAATTCTATAAACAAAATGTGCCACCCGTGTGATAAATTGGCGTTACGCAACCGATAAAAGCGCCGTGGAATGTACGCAACGACGCTGTGCTCTTCATTCATGATTTTATTTACTTTTATGGGATAATAAATATGAGTAGGCGCTCAAATTTATGCATACCTTGAACTGGGTTTTATTGACTTACTTGGGGACGGTTTTGAGGGGGATTCGGAGGTGGGGGGAGAGGGGGAAGGACAATGTGCGTTGCGAAAGTGACAAGTGTTTTGGAGGATGGTCTATTTTCGGCGATCAAGTAATGCGGAATGAATTCTGAAAAAATAATAATAAAGCAGGCTACTTTCGATTTGAATGGTTTAAGGCTGTTGAGTTTTGGTGTTTCCAATACACGCACGTGTGGAAATTTTAATTAATAGTAATAGTAATTGATAACAGGTGTCGAAGACAAATTCTACATTTTTTTTTCCGAACCAGCCGTTTCGTTTTCTTATGAGGATTAGGTATCTAATAGTGGATACTTTTTATTATCATTTAAAAAAATCGGTTAAATAATTTATACATTACTTCCCGTACACCTAAACCAGTTCGGTCAGGTCAGGTCCGGTAAAAGGACTCCCCGAGGGGGTTTTCAATTATTAAAACAAGACAGAAGGAGTCCCCAAGATGGTTTCAAATTATTGAAAACAAGACGGAAGGAGTTCCCGAGAAGGTTTTAAATTATTAAAAACAGGACCAAATGAATCCCTGAGAAGATTTCAGATTATCAAAACAAGACAGAAGTAGTGCCTGAGAAAGTTTCAAATTATCAAAACAAGACAGAAGGGGTCCCCGAAAAGGTTTTAAATCAATGAAACGAGGACAGAAGGAGTCCCCGAGAAGGTTTTAAATTATTAAGAACAGGACAAAATGAATCTCCGGGAAGATTTCAGACTATCAAAAACAAGACAGAAGGAGTCCTCGAGAAGGTTTCAAATTTTCAAAACACGACAGAAGGAGTCTCCGAGAAGGTTTGAAATTATAAAAAACACAGATGGGGTCTGGGGTTCAAATTATTAAAAACAAGGCAGAATGTGTCCCCGAAAAGATTTCAAATCATCAAAAACAAGACAAACGGTATCCCTGCGAAGGTTTCAAGTTATTTCAAGCAAGACAGAAATGGTGCTCGAGAAGGTTTCAAATTATCAAAAAAAGACAGACGGGATCGGGGTGTCAAATCATTAAAAACAACACGTAAGAGGTCCTCAAGAAGGTTTCAAATGATTGAACACAAGATGGAATGAGTACCCGAGAAGGTTGAAAATTATAAAAAAAAATATAGACGGGGTCCGGGGTTCAAATCATTAAAAACAAGGCAGAAGAAGTCTCCGAGAAGGTTGCAAGTTATTAAAAGCAAAACAGAAGTAGTCACGGGGAAGGTTTCAAATTATCAAAACAAGAAAGAAGGGGTCCCCGACAAGGTTTCAAATTATTGAAACGAAGATGGAAGGGATCCTCTAGAAGGTTTTACATTATCAAAAACAAGGCAGCGGAGCCCCCGAGAAGGTTTCAAATTATCAAAACAAGACAGTTGGGGTCCCTAAAGAGGTTTAAAATTATCAAAACAGACCGGGTGCAGGGTTCCAAATTACAGTAGACGCCGCTTAATATGATCACGGTTAATGTTATCAACCGCTTAGTGTGATCAAAATGGCTTGGAACGGGCCCACGCAATACCTATGCATTACAGTTTTTCCGTTTATTGTGATCAATATTTCGCTTATTGTGATCAATCTCGCAATTCTTAAACAAACGGGAATTGCTTTTTTGGAGAAGCGAAACTAGTATTGTGTTTTAATGAACATTCATTGCTATCAAAAGGTACTACTCATTTTATGCAACCACAATCAGTGGTCAAAAACAGACTTAAAATCAGTGCGTTTTCGACTTTTGAACGAACGAATTTTTTCTGTTTTAAATCTGAGTAGACTTATGTAACAATTAACACATCGAAACGACGAAATCTCAGTTTATCAGAGAAAAAAAAAATTTCAGCCCTTAACAAATTTCTACAACAACCAAAGGAAATCGAGGGTTCCTTTCTCAGAATGGTAACCAAAATTTAAAATAAATTCTAATGTTTATGTACCTTCATCTACCAGCGTAATGAACACTGTCTTGTTCATGATTTTGTTTTGTATCGAGTTTTACTGTCTCTGATTGTGGTTTTCGCTTATTATTATCAGTCGGTTAGTGTGATCAATTTGTCTGAGTCCCAAAGTGATCACATTAAGCGGTGTCCACTGTATTGGAAACACGTAATGGGTCATCGAGAAGGTTTTAAATTACTGAAAACAAGACGGAAGGGGTCCCCTCGAACCTTTCAAATTATCACAAAAAGACAGACCGGGTCCAGGGTTTCAAATTATTAAAAACAGAACAGACCAGAGCCCTGAGAAGGTTTCAAATTATCAAAACAAAACAGGAGTCCGCGAGGAGGTTTGAAATTATAAAAAAAAAAGACAGAAGTAGTCCTCGAGAGAGTTTCAAATTACCAAAAACAAATCAGACGGAGTCCCTAAGAAGGTTTCAAATTATTGAAAACAAGGTGGAAAGAGTACCCGAGAAGGTTTCAAGACAAAGGGGCCCCTAAAGAGGTTTAAAATTATCAAAAAGATAGACAGGGTTGGGGTTCCAAATTATTAAAAACACGTAATGGGTCGACGAGAAGGTTTCAAATTATTGAAAACAAGACGGAAGCGGTACCCTTGAAGATTCCAAATTATCAAAAAGAAGTCAGGAGAAATCTCTGAGAAGATTAAAACTTATTCAAAATAAGACGGAAAATGCCTTTTAGTCTACTTCGATCTTCTGAAATCATCTACAGCATCAGTTCCTCTATAATTCTTAGTATTTGTCGAAAATCGCAAAAATTAAATTCTTATGTCAAATTTTGAGATATTGTAAAATTTTGATTTAGAGTACGGATATTTCAAAAAGCCGTTGTCGTATCGACTTTGAGAATTTTTTCCTAATAGACACGAGATTTCTGAGTCAAAGTGAATTTTTTCGGTATTTTTTAAGTGTCAATTTTTCCGCAGTGCAGCTGAATACTTCCCTTAAGGGCCGGTTTATCAATGCTCAGTTAAAAGTGTCTGTTAAGTAACTGTCAGATAAAGGTAACTAGCAGTTAACGGAGGTAAAGTGTTTATCAATGCACGATGTTTCTTCCAGTTTCGTAGCTCGAAGTTTAACTGTTACTCTCTTAAGTTGGTAACGCTCACCACACTGGGAATGAGTTGTGATTGGTCAGTTCAAAACTACCCCGACCTTGAAAGTTCCATCAGATTCGATACGCATTAGGTATTCAACGATTGTATATCGCGTTTCACGTGATCAATCATGAAAAAGCAAAATTTAGCATTAGAAAAAAAGTATTGGAAATTAAAAATGAAACAAGTAGGTACACCTATAAATAAATACAGAGAGATCGAAAAAGAAATTAGTCTTAGTTTAAAATATTTTTTTTATTAATCGTCACGTTGACAAAAGTAATTTGCACTGTTATCAAACGAAATTAAAGCTTTTTTGTTATTAGAATCTTCAGAAATGGGATAAATTTTAGACAAAATTGGAAAACGTTGATTTTAATTCATTCTTATGTGTTTTAAAAGTAGGCGTCATAATTCTAATTTTAAACTGTCAATTTGACATTTAATAAAAAAAATTAAATTACCCTACCACCGTGATTACGACAAACGGCTTGTCGTGCATGGCCTACTTCGATTAATTTCTTTTTCGATCTCGCGGTATTATTAGATAGGTTTTTAATTTTTGTTACCTACATTAGACCTGGAAAATAATCATCTTTTCTCTGTCAATTTGTTGCACAACATAAGTCCTCATCAAAATATTGTTAATTTCATAACAGATTTATTTGGATTTGTTAGGTTATGTTGCCACTAACTGGTGGATAACGCTTTAACTGACAGTTTGAACTGTCAGTTAATTTATCAGGCACTTTGACCATCAGTTTTGAGCTAGCGGGTAATGATAAACAGGTTAACTCACAGACAAGCTTTAACTGCCAGTTACTTTAACTTTACTGCGCATTGATAAACCGAGAGTAGTACACTCATTTCTCAGTAGTTTATTTTCATATTTTGCCTTTAATCTTTGTTCGGATCTCTTAAAAACATATCATTTTCGATTTAGCTCGTCGAGATCTATCTTCCCGATTTTTTTGGAGATTTTAAGCCTACTTGAAGAAAAAGATTATTTTTTCAGTGACTGAGAGGATTTGATTTTTTTTATTTTTCCTAAAAATTGTACAAAAATTCCAAAAAATCCCTTTTAGTCAACTTCGATCTCCTGAAATCATCTACAGCATCAGTTCCTCTATAATTCTTAGTATTTGTCCAAAATCGCTAAAATTAAATAATCCCTATGTCAAATTTGAAGATATTCTAAAATTTTGATTTTCAGTACGGATGTTTCAAAAACTAGGTGTCATATCGACTTTGAGAATTGTTTCCTAATAGACACGACATTTCTGAGTCACAATGAATTTTTCTGTAATTTTTTTAGTGTCAGTTTTTCCGGAGTGAAGCTAAATGCTTCCTTTAAGAACAGTGCACTAATTTATCAATTATTTTCAGATTCTGGCTATAGTCTTTGTCTGGAGCCCTTAATACATATCTTTTTCGATTTAGTTCATCGAAATGTACCTCTCAGAATTTTTCTGGAA